AAGCCAACCTGACTATGGGAGGTGAATGTCTGAATCCGGTCAGGACCCCGAGGCAGGCTTGGCAGTGCAGCTGGAGAAGATGCTCAGGGAACAGGCTGCTTCAGAAAGGGGTGAGAACGTGGGATAAATACGTTTACAGTGACGGGAAATAGAATTAAAGGCAACATGCCTTGCACTGTAATAATTTTTTAAAAGATTCAAGCCTTTGAGTGTGTTTTTGGATCACTCTTTCTAAGAAGGAACTCCCTGCTCTTCTGGCATGTGGACAGAGATGGACTCTCCCCAGAGCCGTTCCCCTCCTGGGCAGTGGCTCCCCGCCATGCCCTGGCCGCTCTTCCTTCTCTTTCCATCCTAAACGGCCCCTGGAATGTTCACTTCGCTTCCCACACCACCCCCAGAGGCTGGACACTGGATTAGTCAAAAGAGTGAGCTGGGCAAAGGTGGAAGTTGTTCAGCTTTTAATTTGTCTGTGTTCTTATTCATTGATTTGTCTACAGAGTGTGATTTTAAAAACAAAGTGGGAAACAGTAGTGTGGCTCTCCGATGGAGACAAGGACAAGAAGAAAGCCTGAAAAGAAAGCCGAGTAACCCACCAGCGCCAGCATCCTAGAGCCTCAGCCAACCTCGGGGCTGTGTTTACTTCTGGTAACTGCCTTGTGCTTACCTCCCCCTGAGAAATTGGTCACCCTATTTTATTAACAGGAAAACAAAGGTTCAGAGAGGCTGAAGAACTTGCTCGGTGTCACATGGGAGCCCACCTGGGTACAAGCATTTGAATCCAGATTGGTCTGTTATGGAGCTTTTACTCTGTAAGTCCTCCTTCCATGACAGTGTATTTATTTTTAATCTTTCATTTTGAAATCAACCAATAGAAAAGTCATGGAAATAACACAATTAATTTCCTTTATATCCTGCACCAAGGTTTCCCAAATATTAACATTTCACCCCATCACATAATTACGTCTTCCACCCCCAGCTATCTGAGAATAACATACAGAATTTCTGTCTCTTTCTCCTAATTTCCAAGGGGCACTTCCTACAAACAAGAATTTCTTTTGCTTTTACAGAACTACAGAACAATGATCAAATCAGGAAATTAATACTCTTGAGAGACAATCATCTCATCTACCAAATATATTCAAATTTAGCCAATTACTACATCAGTGTTCTTTATTCTAAAAGAAAGAAAAAACAATCTCCTGGCCCAGGATGTACTGTTCTGTTTAAATCTCATCTCTCTGTAGCCTCTGTTGGTCTAGAAAAGTCCCTCATGCTCATTCTGTCCTCTGCGACCTTGACATATCTCAGGATTATCATCTGGTTGGTGCATAGACCACCCCGTAATTGGTCTGACCTTTCCTGTGAATGGCTCTGGGGATGCATTTGTGGCAAAACATGAATAGCATCGTGTCCTTAATGCCCTTGATCTGGTGGCAAATAGTGGGTTTATAATGGTGACACGAATTGGCTTTTTAAATGTTGTTTTGACTAAATTTCTCTTATATAAACTTAATATTTTTATCATATGTAACTATCTTATAAGGATATTTATAAGTTACTCAAATATCTGGTTTCTTTTCACATTTTTCATTCAATAATGCTACCCCTCACTGATAACTTTTCCCTAAACAGTGTTTACTGTCATGGTTACTGTCATGGTTTATGTCAGTGGCCCCCAGACCTCAGGCCTTTGCATTATGCATCTGTGATTGGTTCCTTGTCTAGCGCTTGGATTGATAGTGTCAGTGCTCCACCCACAAAGGGGTGGAGCCAGGATGTGATGTAATGGCAGGAAGAAGGCGTGTCTTGCTTTTTTGCCGGTTTCTGTTTGCAGCCACCATGAACTGTGGCCCTGCCATGCCACCCTGCCTTGCAGCCAACTGAGTATGGACTGAAACCTCCAAGAACTGTAAGAAATAAACCTTTCCTTTCCCAACTTTGGGCTTCAGGTATTTTGTCTCAGCGACGAGTAAAAAGTAACTAAGATAGTTACCAAATGTCAGTTTTCTGGTTGTGTGATTTCTTCTACATTTGCCATTTGATTTTAAGCAAGTGTTTTATCTTTACCCCATTTATTAGTTTATTTTTAGATCTTAAACTATAGTCCCATGGATTCTTATTTTGTTCTGAGGAGTAGTAATCTGCCTTTGCTATTATGTAGTTTCGTACTTTACTTGTGCACAATTTAACCAATGGGAGGCCTACCATGCATTTTTTTATACCCAAGTACCCTAACCCTCTCCACCCTGGTTTTATTGCTTCCTAAAATCTGCCACCTTTTGGCTAACTGTCCTGAACCCTTTATCTAAAGAATTTATTTTCTGAGCAGGGCACAGACCTAGTGCTGTAGTTCCTGCCTGTTCCTGGTGGCTGCCTTTCGAAGCACAATTTTCAAAAGGCTTGCGGAAGAGGTGAGGGGCATGAAATGGCAGCTTCCCAGGCAGCAGAACGCCTGGCCCTGCCAGCTGCTTGGAGGCACAGGGTGAAGGATTTCCGTCTTCCCTGAACCCTTCCTGCCTTCTCTTGCCCTCTGCTTTTTAGAACGCTCCTCTCGTTAGCTTGAAAACACGGATTCCAGCTCCAAGATTCATCCTCCCCTGTGACTCTCTCCTCCCTCCCTGGGCAGAATTAATTATTTTCTTCCTGGCAGCTCTAGAAGTCCTTGGTTTAGGCTTTTATTATAGCATCAGTCATATGGTCTTCTAATTATTTTTGACACTCTGTTCCCCTCAGTAGGCCGTGAGCCTTTCACAAATGGGTTCTTCTATATATCTTCATGGAAGTAATAAAAAACATATTGATTGGTTTAAAATACATTTGAGTATGTGTCCAGGTCTTCGTGTAGACCAGAGGTCGCAGCTTTTTCTATGAAGAGTCTGGCTAGATGACCCCAGTCTCTCCAGCAACTACTCTACATGGAGTAGTCCATGGTAGATGGAGAATCAGAAAAATATACAGGAATGGATGTGGCTGTGTTTTAATAAAATTTTCCTTCTATAAATAAGCATGTAGCTGGATTTTGCCCAACGCCAAGGTTGGCTAATTCTGAGGTGTCTTCCCCTCTCAGGTCTCCTTGCTCAAATCACCTTCTGCAGGAAATCCATCACTTAACCTGGCTAATTCCTGCATATCACTAAATCCTCGGTTCATATTTCACCTATTTGGGAAGGAAGGGAAATTCCTCAAACTATATAAGAATAGATTAAATTCTAGCACTTCATAGTACTCTTCGCCATTAACCATAAGTATTGGTTTTATCTTGTATTGCTTTAATGAAATTGTCACAAGAATGGGTCATTTCCTTTCTAAGTCTGGGCTCTCAGTACTCAGCACCCCAAGGCTTCCTGGAATGACACACTTGCAGGGGAGCTGTCCCTAACAGAGTCCTGAGGAGGCAGAGTGTGAATACCCAGCTCCACTGCTCCTCATTCTGAGACTCTGAGATTCTTTCTTTAGAGTGGCTTTGAGAAATCGCCAGCGGGACTCACTTTTATTTTCCTGCACTGGCAGTTAATTTGATAAACAACAGTTTTGTTGACTGTTTTCATTACGTTATTTCATTTCCTCTTCTCATCTAGATATTCCTTTCTTTCCCCAAATAATATGTATTTGAATTCTTGCTGTGTGATCTAGGGGAACGAAACATAACGTTCAGAACAGCCCTGTGAGGTGTGTCTTGTCACCTTATTCTTTAAAATTAAGAAACACAGGTAGAAGGATTAAGGCCAACCCATAATCCCATAAAAGCGTAGTGCCTAAATCTCAGCCTTCTGACCCCAAAACCTGAACCTGACCCAGTCCACTATATTTATTACTCTTAACAGGTGTTCCTCTAGGGCATTGTTGGTGAACTTGTGGCAAGTGTGTTTTTTTTAAGACAAAATTTTAATGTATGAGTTTTTTCTACACTAAAACCTTAGTATTCAGGTTTAATCACAGTGTTTGCACCTTGTGATAAATAAGTGGGTTCTGGATTGCAGTTTGGGCACCCGTGGCTTGCCAACACTGACCTAAGGTGCACTGAGTGCTTGGATGGATGAATGTAGTTCTGATATAAATCCCAACTCCCCAACTTACAAATAGTTCCTTTGTAGTCATAGCACAATGCCGAATACAATGACTCTTTAGGTGAGAATGAAATGTGAAAAAGTCTAAGCCTGTAAAACTGTTGATTATTTCCCTTAACTTTCTGTTCCTATCAGGTGCAGCCTCCTGATCCTATTTGAACAAGAAATTTCTAAATCCCCATCCCACAGCCTCTGATTCTGCATGGCCAGCAGCTTCGTTTGCAGTGATTTCTCTGATTAGAGAGTCCAGCCTACGCAAAGTGCCTCTTCAACTGTTGAAGGCATTAAACTCCCAGACCAGAAAGTCTTACCCCACTGGAACTGACCATGAGCTTACCTGTGCCTCATAGCAAATTGCACAGATATGGGTAGAGGTGTACACATGGTGTTTGAATAGAAGGGAGTCTGTCCCAGTGTGAGGTCAGGCTGAATCAACTCCAGGGCACTAGTGAGGCACAGAGTAGGACCAGCGGAAAAACATAAGAGAAAATATGCCAGCATCAGGGAAGATGTCACAGAGATCTAGGAGAGGGAAATGGATTGGAAAGACCAAGGACAACATTCAGGGCAGAATGCAGGAGTGAGAGCTGGACTGGCCTTCCTTGTTTTTTTTCAGTACATTTCTGCAAAGGCTCTTGTTTTTCTGAGGTTCACTACCCATCTTCTAATGCATTCTTTAGCAGAATGACACACCAGGGTAGCTCCGTCTCACTAGCCATGGGTCCTGACGAGGTTATTCACCTTTGTGTAACTGATTTCTCTCATGTGCAATGTGGAATATTAATAGTACCTTCCCATAGAGTTGCTGCAGGGAGAAAATGGGTAACTCCATGTGAACTGCCAAGGATAGAGCTGTCACATGATAAGCATTCAATACATGTCAGCTATTTTTAATGTCATGGGTGGTAGTATTCCAGAAACATCCATCGAGACTGGCACCATTCCATGAACCAATGCCATTTGAGTGTGAGCATTGCCAAGGCAAGCATCTGCCATGTCTTTAAAACCACTGAGGGAGAGCTTATCAAACTCTTTTTTAAAAACTCACATAAAATATCTTCCACAGGCCTGTCTTTTTACCATTTGATGTCCTCGAAGGAAGCCAGGTCACTCAGGCACAACCTGATTTTAATGAACCCTCGCAGGCTTCTTCAGATCACCATTTTATTTTCTTTATAAGTGTTCAAAACCATTGCTTTAATGATCAGTCTGGAGTCTTGACCCAGAACAATGTCAGCCTCATTATAGAATCTCAGAATCCTCTGCCGCCTTTTGAAGTATTTGGAAATAACTTTTCTGATTCAGGTTGCGGCATCCCTCCCACACTTCTGGACTGAATTTATTTAGAGAGACTCGGTACTGTCCTGCAATCTCTTCGCCCACCTTGGGGCTTCTTTTCTATCACTCTGCTTTTCCAAGCTGATGCTCATTTTGCTTGGCACATTTCATCTTGAGAACTGAAGGCAAAGCAGAAGATCAGGGGTTTACCTTCTCTTCGATATCCTTGTCTGTGCTTACCTGCACGAAGCAGGCTTTCTGATGTAACTTTCTGTTCCAAACATAGCTTTAAAGCCCATTTGGGTGTCCTTAGGAACTTTCCTAAGTGTCAGCGCATGTGAGCATCTCGCTCCAGATGTCTTGTTTCTGCACTGTTCTCCGTTTGGCTTAACACAGCACACATTAGACAACCACTGTGAGGCAGGCTTTGTGCCTTGCTTCAGAGATATAAAGGAAAACAAGACGTAGCACCTGCTCTCAAGGAGCTTGTAGTAAAATGGGAGGTGCAAGCTGACCAGTACAAACAGTGTGTGAAGATTGTTTAAAATCTCTGCCAGCTACCTGGAGCCGTGGTGGGTCAGGGATGGTTTCTCTGAGGGCTTAGAATTTGAACAAGAATTTTATTTTATCCACCTTAATTCTTCTTTCCTACTATGTTATCTTCTTAAATCCCATTGGCTGCTATTCCCAGAATGTGCAAAAAAAAATTCTTTTTGCTAGAACAGTATTCATGTAAAATGCAAATTGTCATTTTATGTATTTAGTTTTTAATTTGTTGTAAATGATCCGGTGTTACACAGTTTGTTTTATTTTTTACTTTCCTTCACTAAGCACTTTTTTAAAAGGAGAAATCCATGTCAGTGTAGGAACAGCAAGACTGTTACTCCTAACTCTTGCACAATATCCCGGGCTGTGCATTCTCCATGCCGTTCCTTTTCCATTGTCTCCATGTGGAGCATCCACACAGCTGCCAGGTCACTGCAGAAACATGCTTTATGACTCACTCAGAGTTAGCTCTCAGGAATATATGCCACATATGCCCAGAAATCAACTTTCTAGGTTGTAGACATACAAGGCAAAATAATGGCCCGAACACGTCCCTGTTGTAACCCCCAGAATGTACAAGTACGTGGTCTTATATAACAAAGTGAAATTTACAGGTTAGATGAGAAACTTCAAGGTGGAATCATGATCTTGGAGCATCCAGGTCGGCCCAGTGTCATCAGAGGGTGCTTAGGAGAGAGAGAGAAAGGCAGATGAGACAGAGGCAGAGCAGAGTGAAGATACTATGCTGTTGGCTTTCAAGATCCATGAAGGACTCAGCAGCTATGGAAGGCAGAGTCCTCTAGAAGTGGAAAAGGAAGACAAGTTCTCCTCTCGACCCTCCAGAAGGAGCCAGCCCTGCTGACTGAGCTGTACCCCATGAGACCATTTCAGACTTCTGACCTCTAAAACAGGAAGATAATACATTTATGTTGTTTTAAGTCACTGAACTTTTTTGACCTATGACAGCCACCATAGAAGACTCACACGGGGCTTGTGCCCCATCTCACCTGACTTCAGTGGTACCCGGTTGCTCTAAGGATAGCTGTCCCCACAATGGTCACATTAGAGGTTCTTGTGTCACCGCACTTGGCCCAGCTCAGCTTTCTGGTTTCTGGAGGTCCAGTGGGCTTAAGCATGAATAAGTCTTTTCAAAAGACTTAGAGTCTTCCAGACAAGGTAATGAGATAAGCATTAGTCAGTTTTCCTGTCACTCAGACGTAATACTCAACACTTACAGATAAAAAGAGGGAAGACTGACTTTAATTCATGATTTCGAGTGATGCAGTACATGACCGGCAGGCCCCAAGGTCAGAACGTCATGGTGGAACAAACCTCCATGACCCAGCCAGACAATCGGGAGCCAGCTTTGCTAATCTGCTAAGTATTTCCTAATGCAATCAAATTGACATCGGGATTAGTGATCACAATCCATGCCTTATCAACTTCACACTCAAACACATTTTAAAACCATACTTAATCTCCAAACAAAGACAGCAGCAAACTAATGATTCTGCCTAACCTAATGCAACTATCCTGTGTATAACCAGAAATGCAATAATCCCTTCCCCAAAGTCTCAATAGTCCCAGAAGTTTTCAAAAGTCCAAATCTAACCCTCTCCTACATCTCACAGTAAACTTTTAGCTGTGAATCTCTGTTAAAATTAAAAACCAGTTATTTAATCCCAATAGCACAGGATAAACATGCCCAGTCTAAAAGGGAGGAATGGGGGGGGGGGTAGGAAATAATAGGATCAAAGCAAAACTGAAAACCAACAGGCCATACATTGTCATTTATCTCCATATCTAGCATCCAGGGCACATGATAGTAAAATGTGAATTCCGAAGTGCTTGAGCAGCCCCAACACTGTAGCCTTGTTGGTTGAAACCCATGTGGTCGCTCTCTTGGGCTGACTCTGCTCACTGCCTCCAGCTCTCATGAAGCTGAAGATAATATTCCATATTCCTGATATCTCTGAGCTCCTAGGCTCTTTGCTTTGATCTCATTCCCACAACTGCACACATTGTCCTCTTAGGAGTTTCTTGCCTTTCCTATGAAGCCTGTCTTTGAAATATGGATGAAAGCCTTCCTGACCCACATTGCATTCTGAATGCTGGTAAAACCAGCATCACCAACATTAGCTTCCAGCTCAAGCAGCTCGTGCAGTATCGAGGACCTTTGGGACCATGGCTGCAGTAGCAGTAGTCTCTGAGTCCTAAGATGACTAAGTATAGTAAAATGAATCCCAAGGAATCAAGAGGTCTCTTTGAGCACAGGTTTCAGGAACTCTCTTCTCAAGTAGAGGACTGACTCTTTTGTAACCTTGAATCTGTAATGGTATAATCTTGCTGGTTTCTAAGATTCCCTCAAGGTTTTGTTCTCATCTTCATACAACATACTTGATTCCTTTTAAATGATGCTTAACTTTAGCAACCACAACTTCTTAGACTCCATCTTTACACATGGTTCCTTCTGAGCCAAAGTTTTCTTTTCAAAATTTTCTGCTTTGTATTTTGAATCTAATTCTCATCACAAAGCTGGCTAAAAGCAGCCAGCACCACCCATGACACATCCTAAATGTTGGGCTGTCTTGACATTTCCTCTAGGAGCTGAGTCATTTCATTATCCTTAATCAAAGTCTCCTGCAAAGTCTCAGGTTATCACAAAAATGTAGACAAATTTTCTGCCACAGTGTAATACACATGGTCTCTCATCTCAATGTCAAATGAAGTCATTGTTCCAGCAAAACCTCATTAGCCTGACTTTTACTGTTCATTTTTCTGTCAGCTTTCTGGTGTTCTGCTTAGTGTATTCTAAAACTTCTCTAGCCAATATCTCCAAGCCTTTCCAAATTCCTCCAGAAAACCAGTCCTAAAGGCTCTTAAACTACGTGGTCAGATATAGTCACAGCAATAACCCCACTCCTGGTACCAATTTTCTGCATTAGTCAACTTTGCTGTTGCTTGGACATGATACCCAACACCTATAACTTAAAAAAGAAAAGGTTTAATTTATCCCCTCACTTAAGGAGATTTAGAACACAATCAGTAAGTTCCAAAACAGAAACTTCATAGTGGAATGGTAGAGGAGCAGGGGAACAATGACATAGAGCATGGGCAAGGGGCCCAAGGCTGTACACCCAAAAGCTTGCTTTACTAGTATGTTAGCTATTTCTTAATCCATTAATGTCGACATATCAGATTAAAGATCACATATGAGGAGTGACCTTGATATGATGCAACTGAATAGGCAGATCTGAGGGTGGTAGAGGAAATGTGAATCATGGCTCTTAGAAAGACTTTAAGGAAGTAAGTGAAGATGAAACCAGCATCCTTTGTGAGGAGATAGGCTGCATGAACTCTGTAGGAGAAATAATGATGTATAATTGGGGAGTCATCACAGAGATGGTGGGTCTCCATTCCACAGCTGCTATGTGACTCTGGGAAAATTGTTAGCCTCTATGACTCTCAGTGTTTACTGCTTTATGACACAGATAATAATACTGTCTGTCTCATAGGATGATGTGCAGGTTATCTGAGACCATGAATGTAAAATCCCCAATTCAGTGAATGATAGTTGTTAGCATCTAATAAATAATAATGATAATGATAATATATATTTCATCATAATTATATTAGTTTCTTGTATTCACATCAGAAGAGATAGAATTTGATGTTTTCTTCCTAAAATATGGTATCCCTTGCTGATCTTGCTCTCTTGCCTATAGAATAATAAATCACAAGCTATTTTCATATATTTACACACAAATTATTTTATACATTAACTTGAAGTGAATCCCTTCCTCTTTGCCTTCTCTCACACAAATACCCATCTCTCAGAAATGGTAGTTTCCTTTTGGGGCTGTTCACAGTATCATGTTGTCAGACATGACTCGCTTTCCTACTGCACAGTCTACAAGCATTTTCCAGGACTAAATAATACAGGAGAGGAGAGAATCACAGGGGTTGGATAAATGGCAGGAAGCAGCACAGTAAGTATCTGTGTTGTGAGAGATGAAAGCCTGGTCAGAAGGCCAGAAACAAAGTAAAGGAGATGTGTGAAGGCATTGATCAGGGAGATGAGAAAAGCATTTCTGGAGAGAATATTTGCTGAGAGTTGAAACACAGATGACTCAGAAGATGGTAGAAGAGTCTTCATTAGGTAGGAGTCTGGAAGGGGTGGCTCAGTGGGGACCTGTGTTTGAAGGCTGGAGCTCTGAAGACATGAACCAGTTTCTACTTCCCGGGGCCTCTGAAGCCACTTTTGACTCACTGTACAGTTATATTTTTTAAGAAAAAAAAAAAAACAATAGAAACAAGGCTACAGAATTTTCAAAACAGGATAATAGGAAATTGACAGTGGTTAATATACTGCATATTGTCATCTCCAAGTAATTGCTCAGGTTATAAGATATGCACATCCATACTTGGTCAAACAGTATAATCACAAATGCTATATTCAATGAACTAAGAGAAATCAGCATTATAATTACCTATTATCTTATATATATGATATATTTTTTAACTATTCCACTATTTCCTTCTTTATCCTTTTACCCATCCCAGCTGTTCTTTACTTTTAGACTGCCTTTTTCTCTTTTGCAATATCTATGGTAGATTTGGGGTCTTGTTTACTTTTTCAATTTCTTATACTAGGGAGACTATGATGTTTACACGTGTGGGTTTGATTTATTTCACTTATGAGCATGGACTCTAGTTGTATCATTTACCTATAAAAGCCTTGAGCTTATTCTTCTTTATAACTGAATAAATAGTTCTCCATTACATAAAAATGCCACATCTTTTTAATCCATTCCTTGGGTGATGGGGATTTGGGTTGTTTCCAAGATTTAGCTATTACAAATTGTGCTGCTATAAACATGGGTGCACATATATTGCTGTTGTATGATGGTTTTAATTCATCTGAGAAAATACACAGAATGGAAATAACTGAGTCAAATGGGCCCTCGAATCCTAGTTTTTTGAGAAATCTTCACACTGACTTTCCACAGTGATTGCACCAGTCTGTACTCCCGTGAGTAAGTGAAGAAGAGTTCCTTTTTCCCCACAGCCACCTCCTCCCAGCATTTGTTATTGGTTGATTTCTTGATGATAGCCATTTTTTCTGGGGTGATATTGAATCTCAGAGATTTAATTTGCATTTCTCAGATGACCAATGATGTTGAACATTTTTTCATATACTTATTTGCCATTTGTATTTCTTTATTTGAGAAGTATGTATTCATCTCCAATGTCCAATTTTGGATTGGGTCTTTCAATTTGGGGGATCTGAGTATTTTTCCATTCTTTATATGTTCTAAATAGAAGTTCTTTGTCTGAAGGACAGTTGGCTAAAAAATTTTTTTAACTCCATTGGTGATTTATTTTTACTTCATTGGTGATTTCTTTTGAGGTGCAAAAACTTCTTAATAAGAAATACCAGCTGTTGATTCTGTGAAGTACTTCCTGTGCAGTTTGGTTTTTGTTCATGAACTCTGTCTACACCTGTGTCTTCAAGATTTCTACCCACTTTCTCTTTCTGTAGATTTAATGTTTCTGTTTTAATATTCAGCTCTGTGATCCATTTTGACGTTATTTAGTGAATGGTGATAAACATGGATCTAATTTTAGTTATTGGTATGTGGAAAGCTAGTTTTCCCAGCACCACTTATTAAAGGGGTTGTCTTTC